AATGAGAAAACATACACAGAGAAGAGCTGTTGACTACACCAGCACCGTTGTGAAATACATTCAGGTACTGTATTCCCATTGCTGTCACAGTATTTCTTTTCTTAATTGATTGATTATGTGGAACTAAAGGAATAGAGTTTATGTTTTTGTTCAGGCTCGAACATGGCAGCGAGACTCAAGGGATAGGACCTCTTTACAACCAACCCCAGCTGCAGCAGTTGATGTTAGATTTCTTTGCTTTTCTGTGTTATGCAATAAGATTTTTGATTTTCTGCTCTAACTTAAATATCAATGTTTCAGATGCTTCCCACAGTTGCCTATTCAGATAATCCTTCAACAAGCTTTACTGCAAAGTTTGTTCACACATCTCTAAACAAGAATCGTTGTTCAATCAACCGTGTATTGGTATTTCCCTCTAACAGCTGGGTGCTTTGTATTATTCCCTGTTTGCCATGTTTGTCTATTCAAGAAAGCTAACGTCTTTCTTTTCTTTTTTCTTTCTTAACTCTGTTATGCCAACTTAATGCGATCATTGCTGATTGGGTTTCTTGTATTTAGTGGACACCTTCAGGCCGACGTCTTATCACGGGCTCCCAAAGTGGGGAGTTTACTCTTTGGAATGGGCAATCTTTTAATTTTGAAATGATTCTTCAGGTTCGTTTCTCAGCTTGTGTTTACTAATCTTTGGAAACTTCTGTTTTGATTCCTCTATAGCTGTTGCTCCTGGTATTGACTGTTAAAATCTGCTGTCAAAATCAGGCACATGATCAACCTATAAGGTCGATGGTATGGAGCCACAATGACAATTATATGGTTTCTGGTGATGATGGAGGCACAATAAAGTAATTTTTTTTCTTTCACTCTCAAACTTGTGATAATGAAAATGAAAAGCTCGGAATTCTATGATTCAGATTTAGTTTTTGCTGTGACGGTAAAGATCAATTGTTTCTTATGTATCAGGTATTGGCAGAACAATATGAACAATGTGAAAGCCAATAAAACTGCTCACAAGGAATCAATTCGCGATTTAAGGTAAAAAAAAAGGTTTGATATGTTAGTATATTAAATGAATCTCTTTAAATTTTAACAGTACGTATCGAACAGTTTCTGTAAAACAGATTTAAAGTTCTGCTCGTGTTCTGATGATACGACTGTTAAAGTCTGGGATTTTGCCAAGTGCCAAGAAGAATGCTCATTAACCGGTAATGTGATCTGAACAGATTATCGGCAGATAGTGAATTTCGTAGTTGCTTTCTCTTCTAGTTTGAATTCAGAAGGCCATTTGGAATGTGATGTATGTTATTATAATTGGACCCTTAGGCTACACAGAAAAAGTATTATTGAGATTCGGTTTGGTGTCATGCCATGGAAATATTAGTTAGTTTTGAAGGCTCCAAATTGGTGCTTTTTTTTCCTATCCTTTTGAAGGCATGTTTTCACAATTTTCTTCATATTTGTATTTTCTTCTATTTTTTTTACGTGACCAAAGGGTTCTTTATATTTTGAACTCAGGCAGGCCATGGTTGGGATGTCAAGAGCGTTGACTGGCACCCCACAAAGTCCCTACTAGTTTCTGGTACATTATTGTATAGACTTCTATTTTGATAATTTAATTAGAAAGAAACAGTTGTATATTTCAGAGCTTCTCTCTATGATTATTCGCTGTTTAATCTGTGTTAACAGGTGGAAAAGACCAACTTGTCAAACTGTGGGATACTAGAACTGAGAGAGAGCTTTGCTCACTGTAAGTAGTGCGTAAATGTATTATGTATTTTATTATTGTTTCACGTTCAAAGCTTTGACGAACTTGATGGCCTATTCTCACTTCTGCAGTCATGGTCACAAAAACATAGTGCTTAGCGTGAAGTGGAACCAAAATGGCAATTGGCTTTTAACGGCCTCGAAAGATCAGATAATTAAGGTAAGGCTAACTTTCTTGGGGGGTGTATTGATTTGTAACTTAGATTTTGTCCGTGCATTATGGAAACATTTGTATGACACTTATGCATGTAATCTGCAGCTGTACGATATAAGGACTATGAAAGAGCTTCAATCCTTTCGTGGGCACACGAAAGATGTAACATGTAAGCTGTCAAATTCTCTAATGACCATGTCTTCAAACACGTGAAAGCAGACAAACTGCCCTCATAAAATGACTTTTCTGTACCTTGACTAGGACTCTAAAGTATATGCCTTTGAAAGATTATCATTGTACCCATGCTTTACTTAATGGAGGTCGACATATGAGACATTATCCCATGGATGCGAGTTATCAATTTGTTTCTTCGATATTTCTAATTTGCAACTATTTCTAATTAAAAGTGGTCGAACTCTGTTAAAGCTTTGGCATGGCATCCCTTCCATGAGGAGTATTTTGTCAGTGGGAGCTCTGACGGCTCCATTTGTCATTGGATTGTGGGGTAGGTACTGTTGTGCAGCAATATGCTGTTTTATTTATTCGTTTATGCTGCTATTGCTTTAATCACTTCTAAGGATTTGTCAACTCTTGTTTCTTGTCTACATTTTATATTCAGTCATGAGGTATCTACATATACTAGTAGCATCTTACTTTACCTTATATTTTGTGGTTTTTTTTTGAGGTGTATCTAATTATGAAAAACTTTTCTTAATTCCCAGGCATGAAAACCCGCAGATTGAAATCCCAAATGCTCATGATAACAGTGTTTGGGATCTTGCATGGCATCCTATTGGATATCTTCTTTGCAGGTAGCAATTTCAATAGTCCGGTGCTATGAGTTCCTTACAGTTTTATTCTATGATGTGTTGTGGTTCCTTGTGCTCTTGAATAAATAAATGCTTCAGATATTGATTTTTCCCCCTATTATCTGCAGTGGTAGCAATGATCACACAACCAAGTTTTGGTGCAGAAACAGGCCTGCAGATAATCCCCGAGATGTCCTTATGCAGAACCAAGGTTTGTTTTTAGGCTATTAGTATCTGATTTTTTAGTAGACACGATGGATAAGGTGTGGGTAGTGCATAATACTATGTCCTTATCCATATGAGTAGGAAGGATGCTGTGATAGGCTTAACTGGTCAGGCCCTGGCAGGGGTCAGTCTATTCCTATAATGGCTTGTTCGAAATGGACCTTGACTTTTTAAGGTTCAGGCTCGAACAGCCATATGGCACCATGATTAACTGAAATTTTTTGTCGAAAAGAACAGACTTGACTGGTCAAGCTGAGCTGGTCTGATATGGGTGCAGATTTCTACAGGCTTTAAAAATCAGACCCAAGTACTTTTGGCTCTCGAGAAAATCTTTGGTCATTAGTGTCTCACTTACTGTTTTAAAGCATGTACTTTCAAGTTCCATTTGTCAGAAATTAGTGTTTTCTATTTATTGTTTAGTACCGAATTGAAGCTGTAATTTGTGTGTACTAATTACTGTAATTTGTGTCAGGCTATAATGAACAAGGTTTTGGTAATCGCGAGACTGATATTTTCCAACCATCTGAGGCATCGCCATTTCCTGGAGCATTTGTGCCTGGGCTGACACGGAACGAGGGGACCATCCCAGGAATTGGAATAGCAATGCCATTTGATGCATCCTCTCAAGGGGAACATAAACAGCCTCTTCCAGGTTCCATGGCACTGGGAGCTCCTCCTCTGCCACCTGGTCCCCACCCATCGCTTCTTGGAAGTGGCCAGCAGCAAGGGTATCAGCAACAACAACACCACCACCAAGGTCATCCCCAGCAAATGCCTCCAATGCCCAATATGCCTCACCATCAGCTACCACCATCATCTCATATGCCATTGCACCCTCATCATCTTCCCCGGCCTATGCAAATGCCTCCTCACGGTCACATGCCACCTTCCTCAATGCCTATGTCTCATCAGATGCCTGGATCAATGGTATGACTCTCAGATCTCTTGTAATTCGACCGCAACTTAAGCCTGTCTTTTGTGGGTACCCCATGAGTTGGATTCCTCTTTTTTTATTTTCTTAGTGATATTTTAGGGAGGTTAAAAATCATTTTTACTGTGTAGAAAGAGATATTAATCCTCACTTGTTGTTGGAATAGGGAATGCAAGGTGGCATGAATCCTCAGATGTCGCAAAGTCATTTTATGGGTGCTCCTTCAGGAGTATTTCAAGGACCACCAAGCAATGGTGGACCCCAAATGTATCCCCAGGGACGTGGTGGTTTCAACCGTCCACAAATGATTCCAGGCTACAACAACCCTTTCCAACAGGTCTCATTTAAACACTAGTCTTTTGTTGTTTAGTATACCCGTAAAGGTTTCGCATACATATATGTACAAATAGGCAAAGATGTCTACTGCACAACAATGCAAAACATCCTGATACGATTGAACCACAATATATAACTTTTGCAGCTCGTTTGAAACTTACTAGCTAGGTTCTTTGGTATGATTAGATGTTGTATATGCTATTGCTGAGCTTAAAATAGCACAAAATTCGTTGACTAATACGTTCTATGTATTTTATTTCGTGCAGCAGCAGCAGCCGCAGCCGCCTTTACCTCCCGGCCCTCCACCAAACACCAATCAGCAACATCAGTAGGCAACCGTTGTATTAGTACATACATATCCTGTTTGTAGACTTGACCACTTCTTGTAAGGAGTTGGTTTTAAGATGATTCAACGCTGTGAAATGGTTTTACTACTCATGTTTTGATACTTTATGTGAACAAGTTCCCTTACTTTAGAGAAGTTTTTAGTGGCTTCACATGTCAAATACTCGAGTTTGGTTTCGTTAACCCGACAAACTTCTAAGAACAATACTTTCGTTTTGGAGACTTTTATTTTTTAAATGAAGATTGATGTCTCTATTTTTCTGCAATTTTTTGTTTTGTTTGAAATTTGCTCATGTTAAAACTAAGGATTATCAGTGGTCAAGCCAAATAACTCTAAGAAGTAAACGAATGTCACCGTAAATGATCAACCAAGTCGCACTTCCAAGATTTTAACATCTATCATAACCCAAATGATAAATTACTACTCACTACTAAGCAATTAGCATAATGGTAATTTCAAACCTTATTTTTTTCTTTTGTATAAATTGTACCAAAAATTTGAGAAAACAAAAAAGGTTACATACTCTGTTCTTTCTGGTAAGATACCACTATTATGTTGCGCAATTAGTCAGAGACACAAAACCATTAAATTTTGACCAAACTATTCCTGATCTGGAGATCTTGCCTTGGAAGAGTCTTGCCGTTTTTTCACAAAAAGCCTGCTCATATCCTCTGTAGCAACATTGCTCCTGCAGATACAATCTCAAGTTAATTCGATTATAATTGTTCTAAACAAGATATTGCACCTAATTCAGGAGCTGTTCTCATGAAGATGCTCATAATGTCAACAATTGATAATTTCCTAAAACACATGTCAAGCACAAAATCCCCTAAATAACTCTTTGAATGATTGTTAACAACACTCATAGCCTTTCTCCATAGTTTTTAAATTTAATGTTTAAGAAATATAGTGAAAAAGAGATGGAACAAGCAAATATGATATATTATGACTAACCTTCCCTTGAGCTGAGGAGGCACAAGCACATTACCCAAAGTATCAGGATAATTCTTGGAATGAGGCAAATTTCCTCTTGGTAGCTTGGGACGACGAGGAAGAGAAGAAGCATTCCCATTCAAGTCTCTCTTCCGTACTGCATTCTGGGCCATTGCAGCTGCAACAACGGAAGCATGGTCTCCGCCAGTCACCTGTGCAAGTGTGGGGGACTCCAGAAGAAGCAAAGCATCCGGTAGCTTCTCAACAATCTCTTCCTGCTCACATCTCCTACAAACCCACAAAGGAAATTGTATTCAATACCCAAACTTGACACAACACAGCTTCAAAACTTAATCTCGACACATAGAGTATCAGAGAATTGAGCCAGATCGGAATCAACAAAAGGAACTCACTTTCGCAACCTAAGAAACTAAGATTTATACACACGCATCTATACTAAGGGAAAGAACAGTACTTGAAGCCTGAAGCTAGATTTATAGCTACATATGAATCAAAAAGCTCTGCTTCAGCACAATTACACAAAGACGAACAATGAGAAAACTAAGCTATATGAATCATATTAGTCATAGCTGTTTAAGCTTGGTTCCAGTAACACGAATACAAGACTGGGAAACCCTAAAATCACTCACTGCCTAATTGGAGGTAAAGCTTGAGCTGGAGAAACCCGACGCTGTTGCGGTTGCGGTTGCGGTTGTGGGAGAGGTTTCTCCTCGGCGGCTAAGACATCGTCGTCGGATGAAGAATCGTCGTAGTCGACCAGTGACATATCTTCTCCAACCTTTTACCAAAACGGTGTCGCTCGAGTCACGCTGCTTCTATATCTTAGAAAAGGTTCTTAATAGTAGAAGAAACCAATAGATTTACCAAATTTTGGTTACAATAACATATATATGTTTATTTTCTTGTATACTTAACCCAAATGACAATATCTTATGATTATTGTCCTTGTGAAATTAGCCAATTGAAGTTGAGATAAACAAAGTAGTGTAAACAAAAACCAAAACAAGATTTTGATACACATGATGTGAGTGTAACCCTCATTGGAACGTATGTATGTATATATACAGGGTTCAATATCCACACTCATCTCAAGCTGCTCTGCTTGTTCCAGCTCGGTAGAGATCTTTCTGAATTAATGCTGAGATCGTTCAATAGAGTATTATTATTGCATGACTTCAAAGGGCCTATGTTAAATCCCCTTAACCCTGGAGACCGTTGCTGGTATGCACTTGGCCTTGTACTACTGCCATTGTTGGCTATCCTCACTTTGCTTGGTGCTTCACTCATCATTGACGTCGTCAGGCATAGCTTGTTCTTATACGGCGAGTAACTCTCTGACTGTGTGTCAAAACTTCTCGGTCTTATCCTTGGGGAGCTCAATGATCTTGACTTTGCCTTTGCTGACTCTGTGGCAACCATATAAGTTGGAGTAGTGACTGCCACCGCGGCAGGGCTTTGTTCCTCTTCACCCATTGAAACTTGTCTTCTATGATTATTCATCAATCTTCTTGGTGATGAGTTCCTTGGAGTTTTAAGCTGTTTCTCATTCAAAGTTTCGTCTTTCGGTTTTGTTTTTGAAGAGAAGTCGAGATCTTCGAGCTCCTTGCTCTTGGTTAGTTGTGTATCTACCCATTCGTCTAACCAGTACTTCCATTTCGTGTTACTTCGTTTCTGGTATGACTCCGCGGATTTCTGATGTTCACAAAGAATCAGTTTTCAGGTCAATATGAAACTTGGAAAGCAGTAAAAAGCCAAATGAAACAAGCGTGTAGGTACCCGGTGGGTGACTGCATATTCCTTTATCCTTTCTCTTCTTAGTGAAGCTTCTTTCTTGCTCATGACCACAGCTTCCGCTTCTTCCTTTGTTAAAAGACTATCGTCCCATCTCTTTTGACCGTTTGTGTCCACCTGAAAACATAATACTTTCTTACATACTAATAAACTCTACTGCACTGTTTCCAAAGAGTTAACCTTTTTAGATCAGAATACGTACCTTGAGAATGTTCTCATTGAATATATTGCTCTCTTCATAATCTCTGTGAGCACTTCCGGGAATTTGTGTTCTCTTACCACAGACCTGTGACTGAATGTTCACAACAGATTGCAAGCATTTTAGTGTAGTCATTGCTTGACGTCTCACAGCACGACCTCTGATATATGCTTGGAGCTTCACTATTCCCTTCAACGCACGTAGAGCTTTCCTTGCCTGCAATGAATTTCAAAAACATTATCAGCATGTCCCCTGAAAAATGAGAGAAGACAATTGGCTTTAAAAGATTCACATCTGCTTCTCAAAAGACTATATAGGTGACTGACACAGGACATAAATGCCAAGATAGAAACCGGTAAACTCTCCTTTATTCAGTTCACCAAAGATCAACGAGAAGTCTCAAATTTTCAACTACTTCCCAAACCAAGATCCTAGACCCATTCAGAATCCCCAACTCCTTCTGCCTAAACTTCCTTTTAACATCTTAGCTCTCTACCTAACCTACTCAACTATAGTCAACACGGCTACAAGATAACTTCATAACTCCAGTACCAGACTAACACAAAGCTTTCATGAAGATGAGTAATTCTTTCAGGAACTTCATAAGAAAAAGGTGCACAAGCTTACAAGATGACCCCGGAAAGCAGTCTGAATGCGAGTAGCAGCAAGAACTTCTTCCTGTCTATTTAGAAACATTTGATATTGGACAACCAGATCAGCCGTTTCTGGGGATGTTGAACCTTTTGACTCTTCTATGGAATCTAACTGTCGACTACAAGACACTTGGCTGATTTCACCCACATCTGACACACTTTCCTCCTTATGTTCCTCGTGCGATTCATTACTTGTTCTGTGCTCTGGAGGTGCTGTAATAGAAGGTAATCTTTTCTTAATCCTAAGCTTCCAAAATGTCCATTTTCTTCTCTTCTCTTTCTGCAGAAATACATAAGAATAATCAAACAAGATGCAGAAAGCCAGAAACAATCAGTATTAGAATGAGATTAATTTCTTTGTCTTCACCTTTTCTGAATTAGCTTCTGAAATAAAAATCCTTTTCAATACAGTGAACAAGCCCTTCTTCTTTGCCATTGTTGCACAACCATCACCTGCTATATATCTCTGGAATTAATTCCTCCCACAATCAGCCAACCAAATCTGAACAAGAATCCAACTGTTATTCAAACAATGACCAAACAAATCAAATCACTATTGGTACATATTGCCAGAAAACCTGAAATGTGCAAATAATACACATCTCTCAGTACCATTTTCTTAAGAATCCTAGATTTGACTAATCATACTCCAGATCAATACTCTAGATTCCAAAATAGTTGATTCTTAGGAAAAACAAAAACAAAAAGATTTCCCTAGAAGATTAGATGACAGACAAGACACCAAAACCAAAAGAAAGTACCAAATGAAAATAAAACACGACACAATGCAGGTACACCACAGAACTGAAGTCTGCCTCCAAGATTTTTCTCAAAACTTACATGGTGGTGTCAAAGATTTTTCTCAAAACGTTGCTTCAAATCTTGATTGTGTGAAAATCGAGAGAATCAAGATTCAGGGAGAGGGTTTCTGCATCAGAGAAGAAGACTGTTCATCAAATTATGAATGTGAACAAGAGAGAAGAAGGTTTGTTGTTCTCTTCTCCACTGTGCCGACAGGTGAACGTGCCACTTCATTGCCACTCGAAATTATACTTTTACCCCTCACTCCTCCTTAATCCCCTAACTTCTGGTAGATCTTGCTAACCACAAATTGTTGTTGATTTTGTTTAGTTTTTAACTTTTGTGTAAAAGTTAAGTTTCAAGAGTAGTCATTTCAAAATGTAGTAAACAAATGCTCTCCATAAATATTCCCAAACAGATCCCAAACTCTTAAAAGCATTATACAATGTTAGTATGATGAAATAGTGACCATCCAAATATAGCTACATCACTCTAAAGCACTTTAACAACGACAATAAAAATAACTAAACTTTGCAAGAAGTGAATAAATATTACAGTATGTATTAACAAAATCAAGACAACCATGTTTCCGTAATTAACAACTAATTGTGCTTTTTTGTATCTTTCGACAATGCTATAAAAGTCATATTTCACATTTGAAGACTTATTTGCAAGAGATGATAATGAAACTTTTTAAAAAATTGGTCAAACGACAATGACAACGCATTGCATATTGTTCAGATGGAAAAAAACATATTCTCCAAGTTGCATCGCTCTCAAGAGCCTTCAGTACAAATCCAATTGCATCCTTCTATATTGTTCTCCTTTTTATTTAATATATATATATATATAATAATAATAATAATAATAATGTAGCTAAATCTAAAAATAAATTATTCAAAGAAATGTAAAAAATAATTGAAGATCGGAAAGAAAACATATATTTCATATGTTACATTTCTTGATTGATGGTTAAAGATTTCTATATGATTATGTAATATTTAGTATTTTATTATTATAATAACCTACACTGGTAGTAAGTAATAAGCCCAATAAAAATAAGTATGAGCCCAGTGAAGCCCAAATTCTCTTAAGTTATTTTCTTCCTCTGACCAGTTTCATCTCTCTTTGCTCGAACGAAGCAGCTGATCGACTTCTTCTCATTTCTAGGGTTCCAATCAAAATCTATCTGCAACAAAAATGGCTTTGGCTAATCGTTTCAGATCGGGAATCTCCTTCTTCAAGAACATCGCCGTATCAGATTCTGTCTCCTCCGTTAGATCCAATCCCCATGGAGGGTCGCTTTTCCCAGCGGTAATCGTATTCTCAAAAATCGAATCTTTATACCAGTTTTTTGTTCGGAGTCGATTTTTACGAGATCAGTCGATCCAATCGCCTAATTGGATTGATAAAAGTAGAGGATGAGATTATCGTGTTTTCTCGCTTACATTGGCCGGCTTTAGATGTTTTTCAAGTCTTTTAACTCTCTCTGTTATTGTCCTGAGAATGCTATCAATTCATCTTTAAAGTTTGTATTTTTCCATCGCAGTTGAGAAATTATGCAACTGCTTCGGCTCAAACAACCGCTAATGTTAAGGTACCCATTCTTACCTCGTAATAATTTCATAGATGCGAGAATCGCTTCAATGGCTTGAAATTGTTGGATAGGCTTGAAATGATGAACTGATGGATTATGCAATGGAAGTGTGTCTAGATTTATACTTGTTTGTGTTGTTTTTGTTGTTTCAGGTGCCTATTGCTTTAGTTGGTGAAAATGGCAACTTTGCTTCGTGGCTATACATTGCAGCTGTGAAAATGAATTCCTTGGAAAAGATTGAGTCGGATCTTTCTGAGATGATCGAGGCAATGAAGACAGCTCCTATTTTCGCTCAGTTTACAAAGGATCCCTCTGTTCCTAGAGGGACAAGATTGGCTGCTATTAGGGATGCTTGTGATCAAGCAAAGTTTGCAGAACCCACCAAGAACTTCCTCTGTATGTAATTTAAGTTTGAAACTGCCTTTGTTTTTCTGATTTTGATTGACCATGTTGTTTTTGATATAAAAAAGTTGTTTGCATTCTAAAACAGCTTTGTTAGCTGAGAATGGAAAGCTGAAGAACCTAGATGCCATTGTGAAGAAATTTATGCAGCTGACAAACGCACATAGGGGAGATGTCAAAGTTTTGGTTACCACAGTCATGGTAAGATATAGTTTTAATACTTGTTATCTCTTAAATAACCATAAAACTCAGCATTGTGGATTTAAACATATGGTTTGGACTTTGGACCAACAGCCGCTTCCCCCTGCTGAGGAGAAAGAACTGACGGAGACGCTTCAGGAGATCATTGGAGCAGGGAAAAAAATCACTGTGGAACAAAAGGTATGCAATTAGACGCATCACAGGCTTGTCATTATTAATTAACCCATAAACTGGAATCTAAGCATCTATGTCAATGGTGGTAATGTGTTTTGCAGATTGATCCAAGTATCTACGGTGGACTAATCGTAGAGTTCCAACAAAAGGTGTTGGACATGTCTATCAGGACAAGGGCACAACAGATGGAGAGGCTCCTCCGTGAACCTGTTGACTTCAGCAACCTCTGAAAATCTTGAGAGAAATTTCCCCAAGAAAACATGCTTGTGATGATGCCACCAATTGACAAATAAATATGGACCCTCCTGGGAAACAATATATAGCTGGCCACTTATCTCGTTTTGAATTTTGTCATTCGCAATTTTACATTTTGTTGTTTGCTTCGAAATAAAGCTTTTCGAGACATCAAATTTCAATGAGATTGTTTTCTCCTATTTCGATTTGGATAGGTGGGCAATTCGGGAAATAAATCTTCCAATTATACCGAAGTAGCTTATTCATACTCACGAATGAACATTAAGGTGCCACGAAGCTACATAATTATCATGTTAGAAACACCGTCATTGTGTCTCTTGAGTATTATTAGTAAAAAACCAAATTGACGATTTCTCGAAGACTATTAAAAGGAATATCCGCAACGAAAAAAAAAAAGGACTAATCTTTTTGTTTGCATCGGCCAATCCATCCCTAACCTTACGATTGTGTTCTTGCTTTGAGCGAAACCCTAGAATCAGCCATAACCCATTTGAGCAGAGATGCTGCGAGTAGCAGGAAGGAGGCTTTTTTCTGTTTCGCAGAGATCTTCGACGGCGACCTCCTTCGTCCTCTCCCGTGACCATACCCTTTCCGATGGCGGAAACTCCTCTCCCGCCTCTAGATCTGTCCCCTCTGCAGATCTCTCATCTTTCAATTCTTACCACCGGAGCCTTATTAGAGGTCTGCCGATCTACAACTCTTGATTGATTTTCTTTCTGGTGGTATTGATTGAATGATTCAGAAATTATAAAAAAAATCACTTTTTTTTTTGGGGGGCTTGTATTAGTCCCCGGAGTGATTGATATTCCTAGTATCTCGTAGCTGCGAGATGATCCGTGGGATTAAAATCTGTCATTTCTTTTGAATTTCCATTATGTGTATTAGAGCTTCATGTACCATTTCGTTTCATTCTTCTCTTTACTGGAATAGTGATTGATCGGATATGAATTGACCAGTTTTGAGTTAATCCTTTGTTTGATGAGTGAGATAATCGATTTTGATCTTGTGTATCCATGTAGTTTATTCATTATTAGGTAAATGGATGTTTTATCGTCTTTGGGCACCTCATATTACTAGATACCTGGTTTGGAGGATTTATAGCAGCTAAAAAGGCATCAGCGAAGGAATCTGGAATTCCATTTTTGTTATCCAACAGAGCTATGTTTGTAATCTTATCTTAGGAGTTTTATTGTGTTTTAAGCATTTCTGATCACTGGATTTTGCGTTGGATAGAATAGTTTAGTTTTCTCTGAGTCACTTGCATCAGCAAAGGAATCTGGAATTTAATTTTGTTAACCAAAAGACCTATGTTTGCAATCTTATCTTAGGAGTTTTGTTGTGTTTTAAGCATTTCTGATCATTAAATTTGTTTCCTTGGATTTTGCGTTAGATAGAGTAGTTTAGTTTTCACTTGATCTGAATATCATGGTAGAATTCTGTTACCTCTTGGTATCCGTTTTGTGTGCTTATGTTTTTGTATAGGAGCATATACATTAATGTCAAATCTTGATACTGGTAGTCCTTTCTTTAGTGTTATTTCTTCAACATATTTTTGCTTACTACTTTTTGTTGTTGACCAGTTGACCAGAAAAAAAGTTTGCCTTGATGTTTATATATTAATCTTACATGCTATTTACAGGGTTCGCTTCTCAAGTCCTTACTCAAGGAAATGAGATAGGTTTTGCTTCGGAAGTCCCAGCCACTGTCGAAGCTGTCAAAACACCTAACTCAAAGATTGTCTATGACGACCATAACCATGAGCGTTACCCACCTGGTGACCCTAGCAAGCGTGCATTCGCCTATTTTGTCTTGTCGGGTGGGAGGTTTGTTTATGCCTCGGTTATCCGCCTGCTTGTTCTGAAGCTTGTTGTGAGCATGTCTGCAAGTAAAGATGTCCTTGCCCTTGCATCCCTTGAGGTTGACCTAGGGAGCATCGAACCAGGAACTACCGTGACAGTCAAGTGGCGTGGAAAGCCAGTCTTCATCAGGCGAAGAACAGAAGATGACATTAAGCTGGCCAATAGTGTGGATGTTGGATCCTTGAGGGACCCACAAGAAGACTCGGTTAGAGTCAAGAATCCAGAATGGTTAATTGTGGTTGGAGTATGCACTCATTTGGGGTGCATCCCCTTGCCTAATGCTGGTGATTATGGCGGTTGGTTTTGTCCGTGTCACGGTTCGCATTATGATATCTCCGGAAGAATTAGGAAAGGTCCTGCACCATACAACCTGGAAGTACCAACCTACAGCTTCTTGGAAGAGAATAAGTTACTCATTGGTTGATGAGTAAAAGCGCAACAATCAGTGTCTTGGTCTTGGTCTGAATGATCTTAAATCTGTTTTTGTTTTAATATTTTCCGGCATTTTAGCGTGCAAGGTCGCTTCCCTCACACTTTGGACTCTCAGCAAGATTGTCTTGTTTTGCTGAATAATACAAACTTGTCATTGTATGACCGTCTCATCTGTTGAAATACACTGTTCATAGCCTCTGTTTATTATTTGAAAAGAGTTTTGAATAGTATCATGCCTATTTTTCTTTTGTATTCATATGTAACATATCGTTTCCTTGAGTTTGTAGCCATTATCATAATTGAGCCAAAAACTTCCTAAGGTTCAAGGTGTGTTTTAAACCTTTCATGTTTTATCTGGAGACAACATTTGGAAGACCACTTCAAATCTCAACAAAGTCATAAACTTTCGCTTCTATGGTGAGAAATCTCCTTTTCCATCAAATTTGTGAACATCGATTCGAGACTACTTTTTTGATGAAAGCTGTCATATTCTGATTGTGTCATTTTTTTTTTGTGTTGGAAATCTAGTTTTTAACATTAAAAAAAAAAAAAAGAAATAAAAAGGAAAAAAAACATTACAACAATCAGAAATTCAGAATGTATACACCATCTAATATTATTATTAAAAATTACTATTTTATCAAGTATTTCTAATTTATCACCTTTTTATTAAAGTCAGATAAAATTATGTATGTCAGGTAAAATATAATTTTATCTCAATTCTACTTAAAAAATGAAAAATTTAAGTAAATTATTATTGTAAAACCAAAAAAAAAGATCAAAATAAAATAAAATGCCATAAGTATAATTTTAATATACAAAATATGAATTAATTAATACGTAAAAAGAAAAAACAAAAAGAAATTGACCTTTTCTAAAAGAGAAATTTTAAGGGACAAGTCTTGTGTTTTGCATCAGCCGTCCCAAACCTGAGGATTTCTTCTGTTGAGCTAGAGCGAAACCCTAGATTCACATTGAGCAGAGATGCTGCGTGTAGCAGGGAGGAGGCTTTTCTCTGTTTCCCAGAGATCTTCGTCTGCGACCTCCTTCGTCGTCTCCCGTGACCATTCCCTTTCCGATGGCGGCGGCGACTCCTCTTCAGCTCCCAGATCCGTCCCCGCTGCTGATCTCTCATCTTACCACCGGAGCCTTATCAGAGGTTTGCCGATCTATAACAGCCCTTTCTCTCTCTCTCTCTGCATTGATTTTTCATTTCTGGTGTTGTTAGCAGTTTTATTTGATTGATTGATTTTTGAAAAAATGTCTTTTTTTTTTTTTTTTTTTTGCTTGCTTGTATGAATCACGGGAATAATTGAGATTCCTAGTATCGTATCTGTGGGAACAAACTTGTCATCTGATTTGAATTCCCTGATGTGTATTAGAGCTTCATGTACCATTTCGTTACTTTCTTCTCCTTGCTCGAATTGCTTTGCTTTTCTTTCGTGTAGATTGTTCAGTTCTGAGATATTCCTTCGTTTTACGATGAAAGTTTCCTGTTTTGGGTGCGTTAATCATAGTATGACTCACACTGGCTTCTTGATTTCTGAATATTTGATCCTGTGTATCCATATCTGTATTTTTTCATTGTTAGGGACATGTATGTTTTATATATTATATACTATCTTTGTAGGATTTATAGCTTTTTAAAGGCGTGATGAGAAATTTGCATTCTGAATTTTATGTTCTCTTAACCAAAGAGAGGTTTGCGTTCTTAGGATGGGAGTTTTTTTGTGTTTTAAGCATTTCTGTAATTTGATCTATGAGTTTTTTTTTCTTGGTGTATTACGGTGATTATAGTATTTTAGCTTTCACTGAATTTGATATGGTTGAATTGTTTGGATGAATTTGGTATACTTGCCTTCTCTGATTACTTCTTTCGTCCTGAAGCAAATGGACATTTGAGTTTATTGATGGAATATGAATTGACCTGTTTAGAGATAATCCTTTGGTTGATGAGGAAAGCTTCTTTTTTTTAAATCCCTGGGTTGCGTTATCCATAGTGTGATTCACACTGGCTTCTTGATGCCAATTTTCTGTTCTCGTTGTGTTTCAATGTTGATCATTGAATTTGTTTTCTTGTTTTCTACGGTGATTAGAGTTGTTAAGTTTTCAATCCCCCTGTGTTTGATACGATTGTAGAATTGTTTGGTGGATGGATCTCTTATAATCCTGCATCTCATACCTCATGGGTTCCGTTTTTATGTACTTTTGTTTTTCCTTAAAAGCTTATACATTAATGGTCACATCTTGATAGTGGTAGTCCTTTGTTGCTTAATACTTATTCTTCTAGAACAATTGACCAAATATAGAGTTTGCCTTGATGTTTATATATTAATGTGTCATGCTATTTACAGGTTTCGCTTCTCAAGTCCTTACTCAAGGAAATGAGATAGGTTTTGCTTCGGAAGTCCCAGCCACTGTCGAAGCTGTCAAAACACCTAACTCAAAGATTGTCTATGACAACCATAACCATGAGCGTTACCCGCCTGGTGACCCCAGCAAGCGTGCATTCGCCTATTTTGTCTTGTCGGGTGGGAGGTTTGTTTATGCCTCTGTCATCCGCCTGCTTGTTTTGAAGCTTGTTGTGAGTATGTCCGCAAGTAAAGATGTCCTTGCCCTTGCATCCCTTGAGGTTGACCTAGGGAGCATCGAACCAGGAACTACAGTTACAGTCAAGTGGCGTGGAAAGCCAGTCTTCATCAGGCGAAGAACAGAAGATGACATCAAGCTGGCCAATAGTGTGGATATCGGATCCCTGAGGGACCCACAAGAAGACTCGGTTAGGGTCAAGAATCCAGAATGGTTAGTGGTGGTTGGAGTCTGCACTCATCTGGGGTGCATCCCCTTGCCTAATGCTGGTGATTATGGCGGTTGGTTTTGTCCGTGTCACGGTTCACATTATGATATCTCTGGAAGAATTAGGAAAGGTCCTGCACCATACAACCTGGAAGTACCAACATACAGCTTCCTGGAAGAGAATAAGTTACTCATTGGTTGATTAATAAAAGCACAGTCTGGGTCTCAATGATGATCTTGACTTGGTTCTTTTTTTTTTTTTTTAATTAATATTTTCGGGCATGTAAGAGCAAGATTGTCTTGTTTTTGCTGAATAATACAACTTGTGATTTTTGTTGAACGTATACTCGATCTTCGTTTATCCATCGCTGGTGAAAGACTCTGTTCATAGTCTGTGTTTATTGTTTAACATGCCTATTTGTTCTATGTATGAGATAGATTTCTTTCGCATCTCAAGATTCTAGGCGTCTTCACCAATTAAAAATTGCATCTACCCAATAATATTGTCTCAATGTTCACTTAAATTCATACAACAAAGAATACGTATCTCAAAACTGCAGAGAAAAACTAATGTTATGAGGCTATGAGCTTTATTTAGTATTACCTTTGATTGATAATTTACAAAAAGATAAGTGGAAACTATTTGTATGACAATCCCGTGAATGAATTAATCATGCAAAAGTGGCATAGCTAGATATTTTTTCTAGATTTGGCTATGAACATATTATTTTATTGAGATTAATCTCTTTCAGTTAAGAAGAAATGTTTGACCTTTTTAATTATTGGATCCTAGTTAATTGTCCTGGTTTCACACACAAAAAGCCAAAGTTTGATTAGGGTAAAAAACCATTGTGGAGGATGAAAATGCTAAATCTTGTCTTTTTTTTTGTTTTCCTTTGGGACATGGGAAGTGACTTCTCCGACCCTTGCGAACAAACAACGGCCATTACACACTTACTAATTACAAGCCAAAGGTCCTGACTAAGCAACCTCTCATGTTTATCATAAGACAAGTTGTTTTCTAATTCAAATTGATTATTTCATTATTGATAAAGTTTATTAAAACAATATGATGTAAGAATCACATTTATCTAAATTTAAAATTTCTATATGTAAACATATTATTAAAATGCTATATTTTGGTTCTACATGGTTAGATTTGATATCTAGTATATAACTATTTATATAGTCATTTCAACAAATCGCCATCAAATCAAAACTGTGTTAGCTAAGATATATTTGGATTACGACAAAAAAAAAGAAGAAGATATATTTGGGTTACGACCAAAAAAAAAAAAGAGATAAATTTGGATTAATTTGTAAGAAATTAGAAATTAAAATATGACAAAAAAAATGGTCAACTATGAGCATCTATGGCCATCACATCATGATATAGGATGATTTAGTTCGTCGTTTGCGTTCGTTCCCGACCTAACTCAAAAACTCCACCAACCCCATTTTTAGCCCCTTTCTTGTTTTTATCCTCCCATCGATCAAACCAAGAAAAAACTCTTTCATATTTCACCCGACGAAAGAAATGGCAACCATTTCGAATCTCGCTAATCTTCCCCGCGCCACCTGCGTCGACTCCAAATCTTCTTCTTCCGTCTTACCCAGATCCTTCGTCAATTTCCGCGGTTTGAATGCAAAGCTTTCCTCTTCTCAGCTTTCTCTTCGTTGTAACCAACGATCAAGATCTACCCTCTCGTAAGTATATTTATGCATGTCTTTGTGTCTGTTTCTCGCTTTGGGGTTTCAACAAATATTGATTTTTTTAAGCTGGAAACGTACCCTCGAATCTCAAAGTAACCATTTTTATAGAATGGATTAGGAAAAGCAACTGTATTTCATCTTTTTGGTTGGTAAAAATCTGATTTTTTTTTTAATGATTGTGTCCTGTTTCCCTTTGGTTCATTTGCAGTGTGAGGTGTTCAGTGTCTGGTGGAAATGGAACTGCTGGAAAGAGAACGACTCTTCATGATCTATATGAGAAGGAAGGTCAGAGTCCTTGGTATGATAATCTGTGCCGTCCAGTCACAGATCTTCTCCCCTTGATTGCTCGTGGTGTTAGAGGCGTTACTAGCAACCCTGCGGTAATTTTATCATCTCTCTCTCTCTCTCTGTGTTTGGTTTTGCTTTTACTCTGTGTTTGTTCATTTGTCTTTACTCCTTTACTGTCTTTAACCTTTTCAGATCTTCCAGAAAGCCATTTCCACTTCTAATGCTTATAATGATCAGTTCAGGTACTCCTTTTAGTCTATGGATGCATATTTTTTGTGATTGTCTAGACCTGTGGTTGTTAACAACTTGCTTATAGTACTTTGGTATTCATGCTTATGTGAAAAGTTGGCTGATCTGTTAATGGTATATCTGACATAAACTCGTTTTTGTTTTGTTTTGATTTTGGATGGATTTACTATTAGGACACTTGTGGAATCAGGAAAGGACATTGAAAGTGCGTATTGGGAACTTGTGGTGAAGGATATTCAGGATGCCTGCAAACTTTTTGAGCCAATCTATGACCAAACAGAAGGTGCTGATGGCTATGTCTCTGTTGAAGTTTCACCTAGGCTTGCTGATGATACCCAAGGGACTGTTGAAGCTGCTAAATATCTTAGCAAGGTTGTCAACCGTCGTAATGTCTACATTAAGATCCCGGCTACTGCTCCATGCATTCCTTCCATCAGGGATGTCATTGCATCTGGAATAAGTGTCAATGTCACGGTAAGTTATCCTAAAGTGTATCATTATTCATGTTTTTATTGCAAGCGTTCTAAGTAAAATGAGTTATAATACTTCAAATTCATGTAGAGTGTGATGATGTGCTAGAACACTGAATATCTTGGGCGGTTTTAAACCTGAAACTAGATTAATTCAAGGGTGTTGAATGAATTTGGTTATCTGGATGCACTGATGTTACTTTTTGTTAATCTTTACTCATTTGTTCTGTCCTGTTTCAGCTTATATTCTCAATCGCCAGATATGAAGCAGTGATAGATGCATATTTGGATGGCCTCGAGGCGTCTGGACTTGATGACCTCTCAAGAGTTACCAGTGTTGCTTCCTTCTTTGTCAGTCGGGTGGATACTCTCATGGACAAGATGCTTGAGCAAATTGGTACCCCAGAAGCCCTAGATCTCCGTGGCAAGGTAAAGTTCTAATCATCGCTGAGAATCTTACACCAGCCACTGTGAATCGAGTATGAGCTTATGACACAGTATATGTTTACTCTTGCAGGCGGCTGTGGCTCAAGCTGCATTAGCATACAAGCTGTACCAGCAGAAATTCTCAGGCCCAAGATGGGAAGCTCTGGTTAAGAAAGGTGCTAAGAAACAGAGGCTTCTCTGGGCATCGACAAGTGTTAAGAACCCAGCTTACTCTGACACCTTATATGTCGCTCCTCTCATCGGACCTGACACCGTAAGTCATCTTTTCGTTTGTTGAGCCTCATGTTTCACTGCCCAATATTAAGTCTATGTTGAAGATCAAAAGGCTGTAGTAACGGTTTGGAAGTATATTCATAGGCTCTGGATTTTGTAAACAAGCGTATTCGTTTTTTGTGGGTGTGATTTTAGGTTTCAACCATGCCGGATCAAGCCCTGGAAGCATTCGCAGATCATGGAATCGTGAAGAGGACAATAGATGCGAATGTGTCAGAAGCAGAAGGGATTTACAGTGCACTAGAGAAGCTGGGAATAGACTGGAACAAGGTAGGAGAACAGTTGGAAGACGAAGGAGTAGATTCGTTCAAGAAGAGTTTCGAGAGTCTGCTAGGTACACTGCAAGACAAGGCCAACACTCTCAAACTAGCCAGCCATTGAGGATGATTATGTTTTTGGTGGGTAAACCCTAAAATAAAAAAAGAAGAACCTTTGGCTTTTGTTCTTCAACCCTTATTATGTATGCTTTCTAAAGTTGTTATAATGGCTTTTGCTTGATGTTCCACATTATGATGGGTTCTATCTTCTTTGTTCTTGCAAGATGCTTCAGAGGAGTTTATTACTGGCTTTTTACCGTATTTGTAATTTACACTTTCACTAAAAACAATTGGCGAGTAAAACTTTTTTTTTTCTTTTTTTTTTTGTCTATTTAAGATAATGTAGTAATCCTAATCCAGGCTTGTTTGGAATTATAGTGAGATTACATTCAAATTGTGCACTTAATTTGGGATTATAGTGAGAAGCCTAGAAGTCTCTCTACAAAAAAAGCTGAGATAATTATTTCTCTCATCTCTGTCTCTCGACGTACGAAAATTTCGTTATTAAGTTTCAGTCTAATGGCGTCAATTTCGTCCTTTGGCTGCTTCCCTCAATCCACAGCGCTCACCGGAACTTCCTCCACCACCGTACAACGCCGCACCATCTCTCTGTTTCTTCTTCCTTCTTCTTTCTTTATTCACTTAAATATCTCATTTTGATTCTCAGAGATGCCGGACGGCTGTGGCTGCTCGATTAGCCGACCAATCAGATGAATTCTCTCCTCTTCGTTCTTCTGGTTGGCTTCTGCAATCTTAGTTTTCCTTTTCTGTCTGTAGTTTTATTGCCTCAACAGTGAATTTGAAGTATAATTTTGTATTGAAAACAGGTGGGAATTGTGGATGTGTTCATAATTCTGGAGAGTTTGATCGCAGAAAACTGTTGCTTTCTTCTGTTGGTTTGTTGATTGGAGCCTTGTCTTACGATGCGAAAGATGGAGACTTTGCCTCAGCTTCTCAATTCGCTGACAGTAAGAATTTCAATTTCTTTTTTTTTTGAGGGCAGAGAATCTTTCTCAGGGTTACATTTCGATTACGTTGTTGCTTTGTGCCTTATAAAGTCAAGTTATTGGCATTTGTAATTTGGAACATTGTTTGATTGCTCTGACTTTGTTCACTGTTAAGAGTTTGGTTGTGAGAGAAAGATGTCTTCTTTAGGTGAAGTTAATTTATCCGTTAGAGATTTTTGAAATCATCCATATAGCTTCTTTTCTGAATCCATATTCTTTTTGGTATATTGCCTGCATTCACAGTGCCAGCGCTTAAAGGGAAAGATTATGGCAAAACAAAAATGAAGTATCCAGATTATACAGAAACACAATCTGGTCTTCAGTATAAGGTCACCCCTCATTAGTCCCATATCTTATTATACCTTCTATACTTTAGACTATGCGGTGATCCCTAACTTGGAGATTTGAGGTGATGCAGGATTTGCGAGTAGGAACTGGGCCTATAGCAAAAAAGGGAGACAAAGTTGTGGTAAGGAAATTTCTGCATATCTACGGTTTTGTATCCTTGGTCTCTACTTTATCTAGAAGTTTGCTATGGTTAGAGAATTTGGAGTTTGCTTATAATGTTTCAAAGACCAGAATTTGCTAGTAGTTATAAATAATCTAGCTGGGTATGTCAGGTTGACTGGGACGGTTACACAATAGGTTACTATGGCCGCATATTTGAAGCTCGCAACAAAACAAAAGGGGGTTCTTTTGAGGTATGAACTCGATTCGGTTCTTGTTGGCTTCATTAGCAACAATGATTCAGTCCTTAATCTGTGTCTTCTTTTTGTGAATCTGAAGGGAGATGATAAGGAGTTTTTCAAATTTACCTTGGGATCCAATGAGGTGAGTGCAATTCTAAGTTCTTCTAGTTGCCATGTTGGTTTTACTGTTTAAGAGCATGGATTCTATTGCTGAGGTATAAATTGTTTCTTTTATGGATGCTGCATGATTTTGGTGTTCCAGGTGATACCTGCTTTTGAGGAGGCTGTCTCTGGGATGGCTCTCGGTGGTATCAGAAGGTTCAGCATCTTTCTAATATCTCCCATTCTACTACACATCTTCCATGTGTTTTTCATTGGGAATTTCATATAGTAAACACTAAACAAAAACTTACCTCCTTGTATCTTGATTCACATTCATAACCATGAATTGTTAGAAGAAGAGATCTCAGTCTCAAACAATTGATTGATGTTAGAATGAATAATTAGCTCGGTATTGCAGGTTAATTGTACCGCCCGAGCTAGGATACCCGGATAATGACTACAACAAGAGTGGGCCGAGGCCGATGACTTTCTCTGTGAGCCTTGTGTTTGTTTTATGTATAATGTATAAGAAATACATAAGTTTTTAAATGTTGTCTTTATATGTTGCGCAGGGACAACGTGCATTAGATTTTGTGCTGAGGAACCAAGGGCTCATAGACAAGACACTTCTCTTTGATGTTGAACTCCTCAAAATTGTACCCAACTGATGTAACATCGACAGTCTACACTACACTCACGTACATATATAAATATATTTATGATGTGTATACTTCATCGGCACATTCGTGTAAATTGAGCTCTGGTTATATATCATTTTTTTCGAGTGTTAAGGAAAAAAAAATAGCCATGCACCACCAAATGTTGATCATGTTAATTGTGTTTCCTCGTGAGATAAGTTAAATGTGAACACAAAAACCAGTGTAAGCTTCTGTTGTTTTGACTTTGTTGAGTAGCCAATGTTGGTTCAATGTCAGAGTCATCATTAATAGAGATTTCCAAAAAAACAAAACAAGTTGCAGTGACGCATTGTAGAAGTCCTTGAATGAGATTTATGTCTTCCAAGGACAAAACACATACTAAAATGAATCCACATTTCTCTCTAGATATGTATGCATAAATCAAGGACATAATTCGTCTCTCTTGAACGTTGAAACTGTGGACATCATGGGACTCCACGTGCAATAAATGCAAGTCCTATATCTACCACTTACCAGCTAAGCTCCGTCTATTTAATTCCATCTTCCCATTTTAAGCTACTGCATTTATACATTTCTCTAACCAATCCTCATCCATCATTTTCTGCTTACAAATTTTGTTTGGTTGAATCACAGTTATTTCCTTTATTAAGTTAAGCTTTCTTTACTGTTTTTGTTCACTGTATAGCTTTCGATTTCCATGGTTTTATGAGATAATATCAAGATTATGGTTGCTTCTGAGATTAAATCCCCTGTGAGTGTCCCCGAGACGCCGGGAAGCTCCTCTGTGCATCATAGGAAGCAGTTGAGTGTGTTCTTCATAGAATCAGATAACAGACGTCTTGCTCTTGGCCGTGGCTATACCGGAGGAACCACTCCGGTTAACATCCATGGCAAACCCATCGCCAATCTTTCCAAAACCGGTGGTTGGATCGCAGCTCTCTTCATTTTTGGTAACATTTATTTCACTTACATCTAGATTATCAGTAGTTCTTACTTGCACTGCAGCTAAGTTTTTTGTGGTATGGTTGCAATGTTTAGGAAATGAAATGGCAGAGAGAATGGCGTATTTCGGACTATCTGTGAACATGGTGGCGTTCATGTTCTATGTAATGCATAGGCCTTTTGAGAGTTCATCAAACGCAGTCAACAACTTCCTTGGCATCTCTCAAGCCTCCTCTGTTCTTGGAGGCTTCTTAGCCGACGCTTACTTGGGTCGATACTGGACTATTGCCATCTTCACTACTATGTATCTTGTCGTAAGTAGTTCAGTTTTGTTCTCTTCATCTTGGGTTTTTTTCTTCATGATTTATGGTTAAGTTCCTGTGCAAAATACGCAAGACTGAAACATATGTTATGTGATAAATACTTTGAAAACTTTTCTAATCTTTTTTGGCATGTGAGAAGGGGTTGATAGGAATAACACTGGGGGCAAGTTTGAAGATGTTCGTACCAGACCAGAGCAACTGTGGCCAGTTATCATTGCTCTTAGGAAATTGTGAACCAGCCAAATCTTGGCAAATGCTTTATCTCTACACGGTTCTCTACATAACCGGATTCGGAGCTGCCGGTATAAGGCCATGTGTTTCCTCATTTGGTGCTGACCAGTTTGATGAGAAGAGCAAAGACTACAAGACACATTTAGACCGTTTCTTCAACTTCTTCTATCTATCGGTCACTTTAGGCGCAATCATTGCCTTCACTTTGGTGGTATATGTTCAAATGGAACTTGGTTGGGGTATGGCTTTTGGCACATTGGCCGTAGCTATGGGGATTTCCAATGCTTTGTTCTTTGCTGGTACACCGCTTTATCGGCATAGGTTGCCTGGTGGTAGTCCCTTGACTAGGGTAGCTCAGGTCTTAGTTGCCGCTTTCCGCAAACGAAATGCAGCTTTTACTAGCAGTGAATTCATCGGTCTTTACGAAGTTCCGGGCTTGAAATCTGCTATTAATGGCAGTCGTAAAATCCCTCATTCCGATGATTTCATGTAAGTTTTATACCTCTGCGTCCATCCCCCACTAAAGAGAAAATTAGTGCCCGGCCTTCTGTTAGATTTTTCAAATTTTTGGTTTATGAGTAGTACAAAAATAGAACTTAATCTAGTATTGATCAGTTTGTATGGATTCATGTGCAGATGGCTAGACAAGGCGGCACTTCAGTTGAAAGAAGATGGATTGGAGCCATCTCCATGGAAGCTATGCACAGTAACACAAGTAGAGGAAGTGAAGATTCTGATCAGACTGATTCCAATCCCAGCATGCACTATAATGCTGAGTCTGGTCCTGACAGAGTATCTTACGCTCTCAGTGCAACAAGCTTACACACTCAACACACACATTCAACACCTCAAACTTCCAGTGACGTGCATGCCAGTCTTCCCAGGCCTCAGCATTTTCCTCATTCTCTCCCTTTATTACTCGGTCTTCGTCCCTATCACCAGAAGAATCACTGGCAATCCCCATGGTGCTTCCCAGCTTCAAAGAGTGGGCATAGGGTTAGCTGTTTCAATCATATCAGTAGCTTGGGCTGGACTATTTGAGAACTACAGGAGACATTACGCGATACAACATGGATTCGAGTTCAACTTCTTGACCCAAATGCCTGATCTAACCGCGTACTGGTTGTTAATCCAGTACTGTCTCATCGGAATCGCAGAGGTTTTCTGCATCGTAGGGCTATTGGAGTTCCTATACGAGGAAGCTCCTGATGCTATGAAGAGTATTGGTTCGGCTTACGCTGCTTTAGCAGGCGGGTTAGGATGTTTTGCTGCTACCATTTTGAACAATATTGTCAAGGCTGCGACTCGGGACTCAGATGGGAAATCGTGGTTGTCGCAGAACATAAACACGGGGAGATTCGACTGTTTGTACTGGTTGCTCACACTTCTGAGCTTTTTGAATTTCTGTGTGTTCCTTTGGTCAGCTCACAGGTACAAGTACAGGGCTATTGAGTCTGAGGAAGACAAGAGTAGAGCTTTTCTTTAAAGACACCACTTCTGTGTTCTCTTCTCATTATACTTTTTGAAAAAATAGCAGTAATTGTATCTTCCTGTTTTGTTTTCCTATAGCTAATGTTTAAGCGTGGACAATCCACTTAACGGGATTGTTCGTTTGTAAGAAGACCATAAAATTAAGTCCTTCAAACGTCGTATCTTGCCAATTTCCAATGCATCCACTGAGAAACAAAGCAGGGAAATGAAAACACTGTTCCACAAATTCTGTTACAAAAAAGGGTCGAAATATACTAATCCTACGACTGTCTAAATATACCTCAGCCCTTTCATATATTGTTGCCTAGATATCACATACTGAGCCGCAGAGTAAACAATACCTAAAACTCCCAGAACCCGAACTTGAAACACGTCCGTTATTATTACGGCTGCAAAGCTAAGTGGCACAGTCAGCATCGGTGACGCGTCTGTGTGTTTGGTGGTGTAACTCCAAACGTACCTGTTGAATATAATGTGACCTGGTGCTGTGAGTATTAGGAGAGCCAGGTTCTTCACCGCAAAAAACCATTCACGGCCTCCAATTTCTACTCCCCAACCTGTGTTTCCACCAAACCAAACTTCTTCCCATACAGTGTAGAGAGAGGATAATGCCAAATATGTTGATATTGCTACTGTAACCGGGAAGTATCTCTGTTTATCACCAAACCCGGATAAGAGATCAGAGTCTTGGTTCAGGAGAAGTAAGATCGGAGCCAGGAAGAATATCGCTTGGCTTGAGCCGCCGGAGAGGTGGATGTTGAGGATTAAGCATATGGCAAAGCACATGATGGTGGCGACATTACCAACAGAGGGCATCCATGCCGCTCCCTCTTCTGACATTTTCTCTACTGCAAAGCTTTGGATCGAGGTGGCTCGGCGTTGCTGCATCAACCTCATTCGTGTCGGGAAAATCCCTCTTGCGCCACCTTGGGTTTTTGACTGACCAGTCCTCTCAGAGAATTTCTCACGCAAAAGCGAAGTGAGCTCAAATTTAATCAGGAGAGCTATAAGCATAAATATCGCTGCATAGAGACCTAGAAGAGATGTTCTTGCACCTTCAATGGCCAACATGGTTGTGACTTTCTTATCCTCCTCCCTTGCGTCCCACCCCCAGGCAACATTTTCGTTGAGATCGTTTTTTATTCTGACTTGCCCTTCTAACAAATATGTCACAGGAAATAGAGCCACGAGAAGAGCAAACACCCAGGGAAGCAGCTTTGTGCTTGAGGCAGATGGAAAATGGGTGAAGATGACAAAAACTGATGCACACACCATTGTTACAACGATCAGGGCATGTAAAACAGCAGCTTGTAGAAAGAACTCTGCAGATATATAAACACCGAGAGCTAAACCCATGGCAATGGAGTAAAATGCTCTCAGTTCTACTACATATTTGATTGGGATAAGAGATGTGGCAGCAGCAAGAATCAACAGGAGTGACACAATGAGCAACCAAGACGGCCAAGTCGGTTTGGATGCCATGAATCCATAGATGGAGATGTCATCAGCTGACTGGCGAGCGGCCTTGATCATGTCTGAATGGTAACTCCACGTCATAGGCATCGGTGGCTGCATCAGAATAAACATGCATCCAGTTGCCACTACTAATACCAAGCTTCTCTTAGCTGACTGAAAAAATAATAAAATTATCATGGTCAGTATAAAGCAACAATTGAACTCTCTTTTTAGTGGTTGATAAAAAAAAATGAGAACTCTCTTTTTAGTATTTAAACCCTTTAAAACAAGACTTTAGTTACAGCACAACTACAACTAGAGACAGTCTTACTACTCCATGGAGTTTACGTGGAGGTTTATAACATACATATTTTCAAGAATACGGGTAAATAGAGCAATTTTCCTTTATAACATCAATAAATCTTTTTATCATGCTTTAGTTTAGCTCCGTGATGCAACCTATGGTAGTTCGACAAACTCATAACATGTTAAATGACCGGCTTGCTAAGAAATGCTGCTGACTTTAGGTCCACCTAAGAGTCTTGACAGAGAACTCTTTCTTAGGTAGCAATGATAACTGGCTTGACGCACAAATCAGACAGAAATAAATCAAACGAGACATAAGAAAATAGTGTAGAAGACATACCAGGACATGCGAAAAGTGGAGGGCAACAATTGGTATACAGGCCAGACCAATTAAA